CAGGATTCTCAGCCCAAGCCTGAGAACTCATGCAAATATTCAGTACAACAGACAAGTATATTTCACCATGCTCTGATACCTCAAATATATTTATTTGCAAATAACAGCTACTCCTGAAATGTCAAAGAGCTGAACCCTAATAACATTTGGAGAAAAAAGTTTTGATGGAAAGCTTAACAACCCTTATGACTGTAAAATAATTAGCTTTTACTGTGACATCACAGTTCTGAAGGGTGTGAAAAAATATTTTGTGGCAATTTGTCTATCCATGATGGGTGATATAATTTAATTAAATTTAGTATAATAGTTAACCTGGCAGCAAGACTGACTTGGAAATCTTCAGTGGTGTTTCTCAAAACCTTGCTATGTTGTAATACAAATAAGTAGTAACAATAAGAAATGTCCAGCAAGTAACTTAAAACATCCTCCTATAGAACAGATTTTAAAAAGGCAATTAAATTGCTAGCTTTTTCACTGCAGAATATCCTTGATTTTACTATAGCCAGATTGCTGTCTTATGCATCCATTTTTTTGTTGCTGGTTTTATTATTCTTTTAGCTGCTTGGAAACCTCTCTGGTTGAACATCAGCAATAGCAGTGCTTTAAATTGATTAAATAATGTTTTTTTAAATGCTCAATCTCCAAGAACAACTGAATTGGTTGTTGCCAGATCACCTCTTCTATAAGATGCAGTAATTCAGTGGGCAGAGGAAGTGTCTGTCTGTCTGTCATAGTACTTGTTGATGACTCCATGGGCAGGTTTTAGCAACAAGAAAGGAAATATGAGCCTTCTTTTGCACAACTGCAACAAAGAAGTCCAAGCCCAGTTCTACCCAGTTGGCCCAGTTGGCCCTTTTAAAAATGAGTTTAAGAGAGAGAATTAAACTCCCATGCTCTATATGGTCCTTCCCAGTAGATATTGCTGAAAATAGCTGATTGAAATGCAGAATGTAAACGTTTCTGAGAAAGCCCTAAGGGGAAGACATCAAAGAACCACTACAGACTTCTTAATCCCTTTCCCTTTGGGCAACAGATAAAGAAGCCTTCCAAATCCTAAAAGTTATAATCAATAGCATCATCTGGAGAAACAGACAGTGCTCTGGAGCTTTACTGTATTCATTGTATTTTTCAGACTTAAGGCTGAAATGGGTAAAGATTTGAGGTGCTCCTAGGATTGCCAGTAGCAGCAGCAGCAGCAGCACATACCTGAATATATTTTATTTTTAGAACAGCTCCTGTATTTCTTCCATGCCTTGATGTTTAGCTTCCTGGAGTACTGGATTGAATGAAATTGAAATTCAATCCAGATAAGCCTACAACCAACTGAGGACACAGTTTACCAGAGGCCTGGAGTGAAGAAATTGTTAGATGTTCTGACATGCCTTTCAATCCATCTCTCAGAATGACTGCTCTGTTGGTTTTCAGAGACCATAAACTGATTTATTAGATGCCAAGATGGGATTCTCTGTAATTCTCAGCACTGTGATGAATATTTACTATATTTCAACTTTGCCCTGTCCATTAAGACAGTGGAGCAAAGTTGAATAAACAGAGATTAGCTGGGGATCAAGTCCCATCTGGAATTTGGAATGGTGGAAATCTCTTTACTTTGCAGGTGAATGGCTGTTCATTTTCTTTCTTTCTTTTTTTCACTTCAAAATTGCACATGCACATGCCCCTGTAGAAGATGCAGCTGTCTTCCTATTGTTACAACTATCAACTGATCACACAATGTTGAAGGATTACCTGATTGTTACCTGATTCAGGATGGACTATCCCAGAATCAATTTGGGGCAGGATAAACTATTTCTGGAGTATGAGATCTGATCTTTGAAGCAAGTTGTTCAGGCTTTGCATAGCCCTGCTCTTCCTATTCTTGTAACAAGATTTTGAATATGCAAGACATAATACTTGACTAAATGATATGGCAAAGTTTTGTAAAAACACATCATTAAACCATACATACAGTATATTTTTGAAATGCACATTTTCTGTAATTAATGTTTACATTTTGTTATAGAACTGAAATTTATGTTTCGAGGAATACAGACCATGCCATTATTTCGGCTTATGAAATACTATAAATTATAATTGCAAATTCTCCTTCCAAGTTCAGTAGCAAAATCGTTTTTAGATATTTTAAATTTCAATCCAAGTAGCATAAGGCTTTCAGAAAAATAGAGAATGCTTTGTAAGGAGCTATTATATCCTGGATCCTTATATCGACTTCTGCTATTCAAGTAACATGCAAGCCTGCAAATGCATAAGAATAGCTAAAAATGGCCATTGTCCATTAATGAATTAAGCTAATTATAGCACAATTCTACTTGATCTAAAAATACACATTGGAATTATTTGTGCAAAAAGGAAGTTTATTTAAAGTGTTCCTTGGCTCAAATGGGAAGTAATAGAACAAGAGATGTAGTTAGATTTCCTGTCTTGCTTTTGTATTGGTGTTATAGTAATGCATAAACTTAATATCACTACTAATTAACCAATCATCTCTATTCCTCTGCGTGGGGAGACGGGGCCAGCTCAAGATATTTGGTGCCAGAGGCAAAGGGTAATATACCATAGAGAATAGCTGCACTAGCAGTTAAATCTTTTTTCAACCGTGGTGATGGCACAATATCCTCCACTGCCCTGCATCAGTGCTTTGATGTTCTTAATGACTGAATTTTCATCACAAATATATAGTGAATAATATATAGCAAAAATAAGTGCAGAATACACAGAAATTGCAACTCTTACCAATCCCATCAACGATCAGATCAAATATCTGAGCTATATTTTTCATCTAAACAATCATTTAACCATTTAACCGCATATTAAACGGAAACACGCACCCAATCTAGTAAGACCATTCTACCAAAGAGAATGACACAAGTTTTATTTAGCTAGTGTGCCTCAAAAATATAGGAAAGAGTATAGGAGGAACACAGCTGTGCCCACATGCCCAGAACCCATCTCCCGAGATTGATCAAAGAAGTCTACAGGGGGTTTGGTTGAATGTGAGCAGAATTCTAAGATTCTAGAGAATTCTGAAAAAAGTAAACTACTGAATAAATAGTTATATTCAGCCATGCACCTCACAACCCAGGAAGTTCTTGACCCATGATATTCTGGCCATACGTTGGAGTGTTAGCCATCTCCTTGCTAAAATACTTTGATTATTCTCAAGCATATTGAAAGGGATTTTCACAATAAATGATTAGGGTTTATTGCCTTTCATTATCAGTCAATCAGCTTCAATTCTTAGGCTGAGACTAAAACCTTTTCAGCAGTTCATTTTAGTTGATAGAAAATGAATCCAAATAATTATTTGGAAAATAGTCTTTCTGACATCTTATGTAATGTATGAGGAAACAGAACAGTGTTAGTCTTTTCAAAGAACTGCTGGCTCATTGCATCAATAGGCAAAGGAACATAAAAGTTATTTTTCATTAATTGTCAGTTATTACATTAAAAAAATTACTTCATGAAGCAGAAGTTTTTTTTTTTTAATTATTGCAAACTATCAAGAAAGACTATGTCAAATGTTAAAGTAACAACACCAGCTAGTGGATAACCAGCTAGTTAAAGGGAAAAGAAATCCTGCAGATGTCAGCTTAGAAAAGGCCATGATGGCAGATGTTAGTATTATAAACTGGAGAACAATCAGAAGATCTAAGTTCTCTATTTTCGATCATTTATATGCAATTCCTTCTAAGATTATGGTTGTAATGCATGCAGTCTTAATACATGATTAATTCAAGGATAAATATTGAAATCTAAGACTATGCTGATAATTGAAATATATAGAATATCCTCAATTTTACGTGCATTTAAAACAACACATTAATCTGCCTTTTCCTATAATTCTACCTGTTCCAGGGAAGATGTTCCTTCAAGAAAATAATGTAAGTTATAACATATCTTGAGAAGCCTATTCATTGCCTGTTTCCAAAATTATTCATTTCTCACAACCTTAATAAATATTCCTATGTCCCCTTCAGCAATAGTACCCTATAAAAGTGACCTCTGTTTAATAAACACACAGTACACCCTGCTTTTCAACCTGAAATAACTTTCCACCTTGATGATTGTATTGAAGCCTGTGAAACTGGCAATTGCTCAACTACCACAAATTCCTAAGAACCATTACAATGATTTGTAAATGCAGTAAATCGGATTCACAATAAAAACACTGAGTGTCATGTTATACAAAATTCAAAGGTTTTCCATTAAATAGACCATTAGACAGATTTTAAAGGACTTAGAGTAAACTTCCACTAAATATTTTAAAGAACAGAAATTAATGACTGTAGATTACTGTGTCACAATCTGTATATAGAAATGTAGCAATTTTTCTTCACATTTTGTAGTTCCTCAAATTATTTGGGAATGGCTATTATTCATTTATTTTATTTATGAAATTTGGAGCCCACTTCAGTCTGCAAAGATGCTATGTGGTGTACAAAGGCAACACCAGAATAGCCAATGCAAACAATACAATTACAACAATAAAATCCTTCTGCAGAAGAGGGCATACTGGAATGTTTAGGATTAATCAATAATGAATAATTGCCAAATGGCTTGTGCGCCTTATTCTCTGTTTAGATTCCAGAGCATTGATTTCCTCTGCATGTTGGTATAAAAGCACTAGAAATAAGGAATGGTCAAATAATTTAATAGTTGGACCTGTTCCAGATAAATGTCCTTAAGCCAAGATATATATAACCTGTATTTGCAAATTTATGTGCTGCTCTTTCCTTCCTGGTTTCTCAATGAGATGCAAATAATCATGAAAATCTTCAATTTATCATAGTTAATTATGATTACCACTGTCAGAACAGCCACACCAATTTCAAACAATAATTTCATTTCTCAGTTTGGATGTAATATGACTCTAAAGTTAGTTAGAGACATCCTTAGCTAACTGTGGTGTCCCCAGAAAGGTAGAGATGGCCATACATTTGTAGAGCAAATTTGAGAGGAAACATGTCGGTAATCATTCATACCTGAGCAATGGCTGTTTTGGATAAGAAGGCTGATCGCTGTTTTGGGTGGTTTGAGGCTTTTTTGTAACTTGCTTATAAATATTTCTTGCTGTCACTCCAATCCAGAGCATTGTAGAGAGTGTGGAATAATGCAGTACAATGCCAACCTAAAATAAAATGATGAAAAGCAGAAAGGCTCAACACAAGGAGACAAAAAGAAAACACGCTTTTATTACTGTTTTTTGTTCATATTGACAAATACAAACCTTTGCTAAATGAAACGAATTTGGGGATGCTTTAAGAATACCGCTGCCTTTCCAGGCTTTTAATCAGCGTAAGAAAATGAAAAAAGAAGATAAAATAATGTGTGTCTCTAAATTTAAGCTGGTGTTCATTATTGCTGACAAAATAGGGCTTTTATAAAAAGAGAACGTATAAAAGTCTCTCCTCCCCCCTTTGTTGAAAAGTGTGTTGCTTATGTTTAAAACATAATGGAAAATGCTTTTAGTTACTCTGTTGGACCATGCAAATTTGAAAGGTAAGGCAATCTGTATAGACACTTTGTTCCCAGTTTGCCCAGAGGCCTTGCACAGATAAAGAATCATACTTTAGCAATGTGTCCTTTTCAAAAACAATGGAGAAAATACTAAAGTAATAATAATCAGCACCCCTAAAACACATTTACTCATTCACTGTACAACTGAATCATGAATGTATCCAAAAGTGGATCTTGCTATGGATAGGACAAAGCTCGCTAGAAAGACTTGGGCAGAATTTTCCCACACTTGGCTACTCTAGGCTCAAACTCAGGTTGAGACTTTTTTGACATGCAAGATGATACAGCTTTATTGCATATTAGGAAGCTGCTACTTAAACAGTTGATTGCCTTCTTTCAACATGAAGACACAATTCCCTCTTTATATCCACAGTGGTTTAATCTTGGCATTTCTTTCTCCCACATCTCTCATGTTTTCAGGGTCTTTTGCCCTACCTATCTTGGCCTTGAAGCTGGATTACTATTAGTTGTTGACATAATTGATAAACCTGACCCTGAGAATCACTTGCTCCAGTTTAACTCCTACACTATGCACGTTTTTTACTCCATATAAATATTCCATTTGATCCTTGTCCTCCTTCTGTAGAAAGATACAGAGCCCTGCCAATTTAGGTGCTTTACCCTAAATTAGGAAGGGATTACACAATATAATTATGGTGTGTATGTATGTGTATATATATATATATATATATATATATATATAGGTGTTATTAACTTTATATCTTGAAGTGTGTAATAAGCTCTGCTCACCACCTGTCTTATCTGGAGAAGTGTCACCATGTTATTACTTGATGTGAATGACACTGATGAAATATTTTTGTTGCTATTGTTGTTTAATGGAAATTTGCAGTTTAACCAGTATATTTCCAGAATTGATATGCAACTCAATGGTTCAGAATATTTTTCTAACCAGCCTCTTTCTGAATATTATGTATTATATTCCAGTACAAATAGGAAAAATGAAGTATTGAATAGTGGACCATAGGAGATAATTCTTCCCTGTGACTCAAAGGATATATCTATAAGAGGCTTTAGTAGTTGATAACAGATTAAACCACTCAAAGACATGGCTTTGAAAGCTTCTCTCTTCATGGGTATAGTTTACATTTGAATTTAAGCTACTTGAATTAAAACTGAATGGATTTGCTAAGAACTGCTAGCAAGTGGATAATAGACCTGCTACTATTTTACTAATTATGAAGCATGTAATGCAAAATTAAATATATCGGGTCAACAAAAAGGCAACCTCTTTTGTACCATTATTAACATTCAGTTCAGCCTAATCTAAAAACTGGAGTGACACAGCTTAAATCTTTATTAGACTCACACAGCAACACATTACTGACCATATGACCCAACTTGGCAATATGGACTGAGTTTCTCATCTTAATGACCCTTTCTTCTAACACCTACCTATAAATTAAAAGACATCAAAACCTATAATCAAAGATCCTTGAAACAGTCTTCATTATTTGCTATAAAATACATGAAGATGCAGCTTACTTTGTAAAAGAATCAGGCTTGGAAGTCAAGAATTATAAATATGATACTATAGGAATGCTGGCCCAAAATGATCTAGTCTCCCAACTTTTAAAGATCTGCAAATATGAAAGGACACCTCTCCAGCTGGTTTTCCTAATTCTATCGCAATAACTTGACATAAAAAAATAAATCCAATACTTCTTGGTCTTGGTGCTACATCACAATTTAATTGATTACTGGACAAAAATGTCATTGAAAATAAACCTCGAAAACCTATTTCCAATGATTTAAAGGCCCAGTTAGAATTGAGTAATTGTGTATGAATCTGGAAGAGAGATGGGTACTATAGGAGCTGGAATTTTGTAGATGTTCAGTCATCTTATATATTTTTAGAACATCTGCAGAAAAGTACTTCTGTGTTCTGTTAGCAGTAAGAAAATTGCTTGGGGACTCCACCTGCCATAATACTTTAGCAAGCAACTCTTCTGTGTCTTTTAATCTGTTTATCTGTGCTCAAGTGGGCCTTGAAATCTTTTTGCTCCCTCCACCTGGTTCCAGTGAAACGAAAAGAGTTATAGGAAAATGTCTTAGAGATCTATTGCAAGACTGAAGTTCCTTCCACACTGCCACTCCTTTAACTCTCTAAACCCTCAGAAACCTTTTCAAACTGACCCACCATTGGTCCATATTGCCCCACCCTCAAAATATGGAGAACACGCAAGGAGCGAACTAGAGTTTTTGTCTACAGTGTGTAATTTGGCACGAACGTTCACAATCAGTGTTAGTGCAAAGCTGTCAAGGTATTACATCAGTAAGGTGCCATTCCTCCATTTGATGTAATCAAATAGTGACATTATACTATGAAGCTACAGTGGCTTAGTCTCTTAGTGCAGGGTTCCTCAACCTTGGCGACTTGAAGATGTGTGGACCAACTCCATGGCTGGCTGGGCAATTCTGGGAGTTGAAGCCCACACATCTTCAAGTCGCCAAGGTTGAGGAACCCTGAGTAGAAAGGAGGAGCCAGGAGCTCCCAATAGTGAGAAAATGACAGTCCTTGAGCTCTATAGAGCTCCAGTAGTTCTAACGGAAACACAGATCCAATGTATTTCCTTTTAATCCATAACTAAAATGGAAATAAATAATCTCACTTGCTGAACTGAAACAACACTGTGGATTTCTACCAGATACTCTTGAGCCCAGCCTAGATACACTATGTTGTACCAGTTGACATTACAAGTGACACCAAAGAGAGCCATTGCAGAAATCAAGCCTGGAGGTTGCCAGTGAATCCACCACTGTTTAATGAAGCATATAGGGGCATTTTTGAAGGTTTTCAGATGTTTAGGGGCAAAAGGCAAACAGGCTTTTTCTTAATTGCTGACTGTCAGTCCTTGCAGAAGGAATGTCTGCAAGTAACCTGACAAGAGGTACTGGTGTACCCATCATTATTAGGGAGGTATGCTTAGCGGCATATTCACTGGCTGTCAGGGCTTGGATAATTAGTTCTGTAATAGAGAGCCTACCATTTTCAGCCACTCTGGAGCCCCAACTCTTTTCTTGGATGTTTGAATAAGGCAGGGCAGCTGATTCACTTTTGCATGCTTGGATGATATGGCCGTCTGGGGAAGGGCACTTTAAATTGCCCCTTTCTAACCCCACAGCTGATTGGGTTTCAGGGTTTTATGATATACTAAACCTGCACATGCACAGTTAAGTGTGGTATAAATACACCAATAATTGCCACAGGACTTCACTGCTTCTGCCTTACTTTCCCCACCTTTGGGAGTAGGAAGAGACTTTCCCATTGCATCTCTCCTGAGGTTCTGGTATCTAAAGACTATCAGGAGAAAAGCTGACAACACAAGGACCCAGGATCCTGGTAAAGAAGCCAGTTGCCTCCTGTTACATGAAATGTCTTGTGCTTATTATCTTTTTGTTTTTTACTGTTTTGATGAGGCAAGAAATCTTAGGCTGAGTTCATGGTTAAACAAGTCGAAATGGTCCATTTTCATATAACACTATGTCATTAACCCAAAAGCTGGATTTACATATGGTGCTAACAGAAAACCAACCAACCAACCAAATTATGTCTTAGTGCAGTGTCTTAAACCAGTCTTATCATTAATCTTTAACAATTGAAGAACCACTTTCTGATTATAATGCTGCTAATGGTATTGTTGTTACTTGGACTGTATATTGTTGACTTATCATATGCTCAGTTATTACATTTAAACTGTCTACTGGGTGAACTGCTTGAGCATAGTCTATTTATTTTAAATGCGGTATACAAAGAAATGACTATTATGATGGAAAATGTAAACTCCAGCAGCAGCCACATGCTTCAAGTAGTAATAGTAGTTATTATTCTTTTTATACAACTCACCCTTCCAGACAAAACTAGGCAGACATAAAAGAATAATAGAAAGGAATCGCAGAGTTGGAGGAGCTATTTAGACACTATCAAATTGAATCCCTTCTCAGTACAGAAATCCAAATCAAATTCCTGGCTGTTTCTCTCATTCAAGGAGGCAGAGCCTCTCTTGTAACTGGTTTTGCCATCCAACTATTCTTACTGCTTAGAAATATCTTCTAATGTATAGTTGGAATCTGCCTCCCTTAAATCCTCATTTGTGTGTTTGTTAGATTTATACCCCAAAGTCACCCAATGAGCTTCCCTGGCTGACATTGGACTAAAACATGGGCCTCCCTGAAGCCAGCCTAACTTCTTAACTATTATACCACACTCTCTGATTATCCTGTTTTGCATGCTGTGAACTGATAGGCCAGAGGTCCTGACCTTCCTCTGAATGACATCCTTTCAGGTGTTTGAAGGCTGCTTTAGAATCCTTTTCTTAAGCCTAAACATTTTCAGTTTCTTCATTTTCTAAAGACTGAAGTCAGTTTCTAGCCTTTGGATCATCCTTATTGCCCCTTCTCTGAACCTTTTCCTTCTTAAGGTACCCAGAATGGATCAGAATACTCTGGCTAATGCAGAATAAAGTGGAACTATTACTTCCCATGATTTAGAAAGAAATTCTTATTTATCAGGAATTGCAGCTCTTTGTGTAGCCATCTGTGGATTCACCTATATAGGTTATGTACCACTAGAGTGCCTTTTTTTGAATTGCA